GATGGAGATTGGGACTCACCTGGGTTAGCTGCGAGGAGGCGTAGTAGGAAATCCTCGAGGGACATACCGATTCTGGTTTCGAGTAAATGGTCTCGCCGGCCTGGTCGCCCATGGGCAGCAGAGCGGTGGCGTAGGGTGTGGGCGTGGGTGAGCTGCGGAAGCCTGTAGGGAAATGAATAGTTCGAAGGTCGATGAAAAGGGAAGGGTGTTATTGAAGAGGGCCAAAACTTACGGTCGAATATGCTGCAGGACTTTTTGGTCTCCGTTGGATACTTGTTGAGGCTGGCAATGGTCGCATAGGAGCCGGTGGCACTCGGCGGTCGTCCGAGGGGATCAAGGCGGATGAACACGTTCTGATGGCTGCCATAACCCGCCGTAGTGAAGCTGGTGCTGAGCATTAAATGAGAATGAAGGGTTAACAGTTAGCTAGATAATTAAATTGATGTGCCAATCAATCAGACTTACTGCAGCGAATCCTGGCGCAGCTGCTTGCGAGCCCGAACATACATCATGCTGGCCACAAGGCCTACGGCCAGGACTAGGCCCAAGGCACAGGCAGCGGCGCTCATCAGAGCCGGTCCCTGGGAAGGGGCGTGAGCAGGCGCAGGAGACTGATTCGGCTCCGGCGAGATGCCTGGAATAGTTATGGTAATGGAAGGGAGATATAAGCGAATGACAATTGGTAATGGCAGACGATTGGGAGCTTACCCTTGGCACAGATCTTGTTGCGCTTGAAGTGGAGTCGGGTGTCGTTGAACCGGGGAGGTCCTTGTACCACCATGTTGACATTGACCGGCAGTTGGAGGCTCACGTTTCCCGTGCACGGGAGGTACACCAGGAACGACTCGATCTCCTGCGGCACTACGCCCTTGTGGGGAATGCTGAGCGTGGGCGTGCCCAGTGCGTCCTGGTCAGTGGCGTACTCGATGCTGATTGTATAGCGCAGCTGTCAGTGAGTTGGCCAGTTAATGGAGTGCAAATCAAATTTTCAAGGTGGGTAGGTGGCTTACCGGGTAGCTGATGAGACTCTGCCAGGAGAACTCCAGCTCGTGAACGTCTGCCGGGACGGGAACGGTGAAGTGCATCGCGTATGTGTTAATGGCGCCCTCGTGCACGTAGAACAAATCCGCCTCCAGCCCTATGAATGAGAGTAAAGAGCATAGTGAAGATGAGATTAGGTTTCCGATGCATTGCAGCTATAAAGAGAAAGTTTATTTCACAATTTGCTTTGTTACAGTTTCCCTTCGAGTCCCTTCCCGGGATTTTCTACTGCTGTGCAAACTTTGTGCATTCTCTGTTTACTTTCCTCGCAGTTGATGGCTCTCTCGTTCTCCACCCTCCCGCTCTATATACCTTTCAGCTTCAACGGAAATTGATTTCCTCAACGATGCAAGGGGGTGGAAGTTGGCGGGTTGCGAGCGGTGGGTGAGCGAAGTTCGGTAAACAAAAACCAAGACACAATAATAATCGAAATCGAATCCGTCACCAGCAGGCGACAATGCAAAGGGCGTCAATTGGTTCTCGCTCTCGATTTCTGCCTCAAATGGTGCGCGACAGACACCCGAGGGGAACGAAGAGAACGAAGGGATTTGCGTGGGGATGGGGCGAGATATTAAAAGGTGTCAAGTGTTGTCTAACTCGATTCGAGACGAGACCAGGCGAGACAGCGACCAACTCATCTTCATGATTCGCTTTGTGTAACTTTAACTAGCTTCGGGACGTCCTAATCTCTGACCCCGACCCTGGGAGCTCCAAGCCGCCGTCCCTCACTCTATTGCCAGTGAAAGACGAGCTGTTCAAGTTAAAAAGACGTGAAATTAAATTTCTTCATCCGCTTTCATTGTT